CGCAGCCGAGATATGATCCCGCGATCTGCGGGTCAGCAGCCGAGTACATTAACCACTGCTGTTTCCATGGTTACTACAGTGCATGGTGGCTGCCGCTGGAAACCTGACAGCCTCTTTTTAAGCGTGACTCGCGGCAGAAATACAACTTCTTTATTTGACTTGAATACCCTGCTTATAGCCAAAAATGAGCCAATAATGAGTGTGAACTTCATTTTGCCTGAATGTTTTTCCCATCAGAAAAGCTGAAAAAAGAAGCTAGTGAACAAATGGCAAAAACAAAGCGCGTGTGGTGGTGCAATGAAAAGAAAATGCCGCATCAAGAAAACAATGGCTCGGCACTCATGCCAGAGCTCCAACCCAACCAATCGCCGAAGCAGACGGTAGCTTTAGGTGAAGGAGACTGAAGGGCCAGTACATATATTTAGTGCTTTTATTGCGATAGCAATTATATGGACAGCCTTGGCTGGTTTTTGCTGTCGCCGCCGCCATCATTCAAGTGTATGTATATATATTGCTACAGATGTGATGGGTTTATTTACACTGAAAATACCAACGCTCAACCGACCAACTGACATGCTTTTGCAAAAATAAACAGTTTACGCACCTCTTAGCCCGTCCAATTTTCCGCAGCTACTTTACAAAGCTATACGAGCACAATTTTGATTCACCAGCTCAACAACACAGTTGGAAAGTCAGTCAAGAAACATTTCTGTCGTTGACAAAACATGGCGATGCAGCATTGGTTGTCGAGCCATAGTTCACTGATGTTCGTTGCATCATACCGTCTTCACTGCGGCACCGTAAAGACAGTTCTGTTTTAATAAGTTGTGAAGCACTTTCTGACAGCACGCCTGGTTGGCACAGCATGGACTAATATTCCTGTCACAAGGCAAATCTAATGTCATTTACAGTGAATGTCATTCACTTGTGATGTTATTTGTTTAAGTCACACGAGGAAAGCAATGTCATATGATGAAAATGACATCTTCAGTAGAATGAGTTCCTAAAACACATTCACATTCGATTTCAGACTGAATGCGTAGTCTTTACGACACTTAATTTTAGAGAAGATGGATGTGAACTTCCACATAACTTTTGTAATTCATAAATATACCGTATTTAATCGCGTAACGAACCCACTTTTTGTCTAAAAAAAATCGGAGCAAAGTTGCGGGGTGCGTTTATTACGTGGGGTAAATTTTATCAAAATTTTTACGGGAGGAAAAAAAATGTGGTAACGCAGAAAAAAAAATTTAGGTCGCTTAGCCTTTCACGATTGTCATACAGGTACACTGTTTGATGATTAATTGATTAGTGTGGTTTAACGTCCCAAAACCACCATATGATTATGAGAGACGCCGTAGTAAAGGGCTCTGGAAATTTCGACCACCTGGGGTTCTTTAACGTGCACCCAAATCTGAGTACACAAGCCTACAACATTTGCGCCTCCATGGGAAATGCAGCCGCCACAGCTGGGATTTGATCCCGCGACCTGCAGGTCAGCAGCCGAGTACCTTAGCCACTAGACCACCGTGGGGGCCACGTACACTGTTTGGAAATAGCTTCTTCGTTGCACTTAACTCATCTTCGGTGACTGATGGCGCTATCTTCTGCAAGCTGTCCCAGGTCCGCCCGCGCACGCCATAAAAGTGTTTTGCAGCTATCTTTTCTCACAATCATTTAACCACGACAGTAGCATCTGCTGTGATCTCGAGGGGCGTCCAAAAGCGTGCGCTACGACGCACTTTGCCAACTTCGCGACAACTTTGCATGGCGACCATGATGACGCCATTACCTTAACAAGTAACCAACATTGCACCAAGATACCCCCGAAGCATCAAAACAAACCGTGGATGACAAGATTAATGACAAAATACGGTCACCGCCTCGCTCCTACATGAGAAGTTCCTCTACATAAGGATAACAAGCGAAGTGAGAATCGGGGGTGCTACTGTGTTGTGGAAATCATCACGATCTTTTCTCGATGACAAGCGATTTTTTCTAGTTTTTCAGAAACCTGCAACGCGATAGCGATGAATGGCCCTTCCCGACAGCAAACCCTGTTGTCATCGCTCGAAAATCGAGTGCCTGTGGTTAAGCTTTTACAGCGAAAGCTGTTATGAGGTCACCTTTTTGGGTCACCCACAGTTGTTGTACACCGCCGCCGGTGTCCGTAACCACATTGCACCAAATTAGAAAAAAAACCTTGCACGAATGACACAGTGGGGCTTGAACCCGGTCCGGCGAGTGCCAGCCCAATATTCTACCACTGAGTTACGTCGGTGCTTATAACTTGTCAAACTAGCCTTAGGCAGGCATGATGTCGGGAAAGCAATCGCAGTAATACGACTTATAAAGCGTTTTACACCAGTGAAAGAACAACCAGTCGTCGCACAATGCGAATAGCGTAACGAGTGTGCTGTCTAATTCTCCAAACCATCATAAAAGCTTGTTCTTGTTCTCTTATTAACTGTGGCGCATACCCACTTCAGCTATAATTCCTCATCGTCGTCAGCTACTGCATGGACGATTCCCACAAAATTCCTTGAAAGTGTTTAGCGGATACCATGATTCTCAGAAGAATGACGAAAAATAGCATAGCGAATGCCGGCCTACTGCCCAAAAGTTTATTATTAATATAAATTGCCCGCGTCGATTGGCACGGGCAGCTTTGTGACCTTCGCTCACTGTGTGCTTATCAACCGCGATATCTCTACACTCGCACCATTTGTAAACCCTGCTGTGGCGCACAGATAAGACGGGGGACCTGCAGCGCACAAATAAAAATAAAAACAATACGGCAAGAGACGACGGGTGAGGGGGGAGGGAGTGAGCCGAGGTGGGTCAGCAAAATAATAAACAATGAAAGAGATCCAAAGGGTGAGAAGGTGCCAGGTGTCGGTTAGCGGGTCTGCAGCGGATGAATGTAGGGATTGCATTCATTACGCGGGGAAAAATAAAATCCAAATTTTGATGACTGAAGTTGCGGGTGCATTTATTATGCGAGTGCATTCATTATGCAAGTAAATACAGTGTCTGATTTTTGCTAGAATACCTTATTACTGGTTTGATGACGTAATAGAACATGCAAAAGGGTGAAAATTCTAAAAGAAAGCTACCCTCAACTACAGCGGCTGGACCCCGGTCATGTTTCATCGTGCCCTATTGCCGTTGTTGCCTGTATCATGGGGGTCGATCCCCCGATCGCTCGTGTTGAGGTGACCAAGGTGCTGACTACACGAAATTGCTGCTGCCACCTCATTTCTGCGGCCAAAGAGCCAGTCCTGTGCCTGACGCTTCAGTTCACTATATACTCGTGCCGCCCCGTCATACCGTCCACCATGTTTCTAAGTGGCTATTGACTTGACTTCGTTTGTGCCATGCAGCTGGTGCAAGTTGCATAAAACAGCTGCGTCTACATTCTAGGAGCACCTCTCTAGTGACAAAAATTTATTTTTCAGGATACTTGCATGTTGCATGAAAATTTCAACACGTTATTTCTCTCAAAGTTACGGCTCAAGATGGCTAAGATCATGGTCATCATTTTAAAATGACATTTCTTTTTTTTCATGTGACAGCACACAGGTAATATGACATAAGGGCCACTTAATGTGATTCATTGTAAATAGCATTAGATTTGCCATGTGACAGGGGTACTACAAGCAACCCAAAATCAGTGTTGCCACCAAGGTCTTTTAATCTGGAGAAATTTTCGGAGCAGCAAAATTTTCATTTTGGAGCACTTTGGAGTAGCAAAAGTTTTTCACTTGGAGCACTTTGAAGCAGCAAAATTTTCCATTTGGGAGCAATCTGGAGCAGCTAACTTCAAATCTTGGAGGAGAAACAGGTTGCATGTACATTCAAAGACATGAAAAATTATTCTGAGGCTCTTGTGAAGAGCTAGAAATATTTAGATTCATTGCAAAATTCATGGAGCCAATCATCTTAGAAGCACTTTCTATGTCAGTCGATGATGCGAAAATAATGGTGTCATGGTGTTTAGCATTCTGGAAAAACTTGTTCAGTGATTATTTTTGTAGCAAATAAACAGAATACTGGCTGAATAAAATTGTACTTCAAGAAATAACATTACAAATACACCTATGTGGCTATCAGCAGATATGGTAGACAAACACTGTGATGTAAAACGCCAGAGACTTGCACAGTCCGTAAGTGCATTTTCTTAAAATGACTTCAAGAATTAAAATAAAAATTTTTCTTCCCAACTGTTTAGACTGCTGGATGTAATATGACATCATTCAGCTATAGTTTCAGAAATACAGTCTTCTACAGCACTCATCTCTGAGCTGAAACTACACAGTTTAACAAACTTCATTTTCATTTTGCAGCAATATTTTATGTGGCTAGGGCGTTCTGTCTATACTCCAAAAACCCCTACAGCATCCTCAAGCAGAGCAGTGCATAAAAAAAAAATCTCGCAGGGTACCTTATGCATATGCCTAAGACAAATCGAAGGCAAAATCCATTTTGTTTTAAATGGGATAGCAATTATATAAACATTCTCAACTGGTTTTTGCTGTTGCCAGGGATGTAGCCAGAAATGTAAAGGGGGGGGGGGGGGCACCTTGATCTGAAAGGGGGTGGGGCAGGCAAAAGGTCATTTTGCGCTATATATACCAGGGTGAAAAACAATTCAGAGGATAGGGGGAGAAAACACGTTCCCAATGTGCCCCCCCCCTCCCCCTTGGCTACGCCACTGGCCGTCATGTTTTGTGTGATGTCCCAATTCATAATATCCCCCAGTGCATCCTGTTTTACACGTGGGTAAAAGTGCCCGAGCGAGCGGGGTCGACGAATTCCGCTAAAGCAGAGATAAGAAGAGCCAACCTATCTCCTTTGCACTGAGGGCGGATGCGATAACATCACCCCACGTGCCAGCCCCCCAATCGATTGTTACTCAAGCAGAGAGGAACACACCACCCGTGTTTAAGGCACAGGAAGGTTCGAGCTAGCAATGCGAGAGAGGGCGTTGTTATGAGCTTTGACTTTAAAGATGTGATCGCTGGCACACGCACTTTTTATGACTGGTATACCCTTCTACTTTGTACTTTGAACGTGAACAGACTGTGAAAAAAGTGCTTCGCTTTCTAGAGCGCTCATTAAAACGTATGCCCTGAGCCTTGATCGCAAGGTAACCACACCATCGTCGCATTATTTCGGAGGTCTATTCGAACGTGCCGTTCGTGCTGTACAAATAGAATCACACTGGCTGAGAGCAGTAGAGCGCGTGCCTGTTGACACTGTTGTTAGTGACCCAGCAGTCTTTCCTCCACCCCTCCCTTCAAAACGAAGCAATAAATGCGATGCTGTGACGTCCATGTCTTTTTTAACCGTCAGCTATTGACCCTGGAAAGCGAGAGGCAGACATGTAACAAAGCGTAGCGGCTTCACAGGCTTTCCGACGCCAGAGCCGCCAGCGAAGGCCTCACTACAGCTGCGCATATTAAAACCGATACGTGACTGACATTCTATTGCAAGCGTGCAGTTGTTAGTGAAAATTGCTTTATTACATGCTGCACAACTCTTCAAATGAACTATCAGCAGTGTTCATGGAACGAACGACGTCCGCCGATGAATTTCCACCATAGTTTCACGCTACCGATTGGACTAGATGTCACAGGCCCCTGGGAAGAGCGTGTTTCACCAATAAGCAGACTTGCGCAACAAAAGTTGCATCAGCACGAAACATAGCATCCTGGATTAATTAGGATGCACGCGCGACCACTGTTAAATCAGCTAAGTAACTGTAGGTACGTGATTGTGACTTTGGTGGCCCCGAGAAAAAGATGCACATGTCCTTACGTGCCAGCATGGATATCACTGGTGATAGATGCTCGGAAATTCGACTTTGGCACAGTTTGGTGCAATTCTCTCGATGTTATCAGGATGATGCAGTAAGTTTGATTTGGTGCACTTTGGCGCAGTTGGCGCAGGAGTAGGATAACTGCAAAACATAACCTAAGGCAACCAGTAAGAAAATACAGGAACACTGCAACGGGCAAAGGCAATCGGGAAGGCAAGATTGCCCACTGCACAGAGCCCAGATATGGTATGTGAAAGAGGAAGTGAGCAGATGACTTTCTGTACTTGCAAAGTATACAACCTGGAGCACAAAAATTACTGTTTTCTTTTTTTAGGTTTCTATGAGTGCATTATTCTAGAGCTAAAGACATTGTGTTTATAACTTTGTATGATGTCACAATGACATTCCACGTTAGTGTTTTTAGTGGCTGTTGGTGCCGCAGATCGCCTAGGAGCCCAAGAACACTGCAATTTTTAACAGGCATCACTATTTATAGAGTGAATATTTTAAAAGAGGAGAGTTCAATTGTTGATGTAGCAGAAAAAATTACAACCACGCATCATTTTTCTTCAATTCCTGCTCTAATTTACAAAAACGGCAAGAGTAATGTTGTAAAAATATCACTGATGCAGACCCAAGAGAGGTGCCTGGCTTCTAGAATCGACAAGGAGCACTTGCAAGACCTTGCACAGCCTCCTGCCTCGTGTGTGCCCGTGCAGAGCACGAAAAGCTCCCGGATCCCACCTGGGCAAATGGTGCTGGCAGTGGGGGCGTCGGAGGGGGTGGGAGCTGCTGCAGTAAGTCCACACCTGTCACGTGCACGTCACTGGGAAAGAGCCGCTTGTCGCGAGATGGCCGCAACAGGGGCACACCACACACTGTGGCACTCTCGGTTGTTCCCAAGCTCGGTGGCTTTGGGGAGACCTGCACAGAGGCATTCTCTCAGAGCCTATCCAACCCAAGATATTTACAATTATCGTATGCCGTAGAAACTGAAAAAGTAAGCCTGTTATCATTATGACACAACTCTATATGAAACATCTCTTTCTTTTCTCTTTGTGTTGCCACCGAGGCAAATGGCCAAGTACTTCAAACTCACTCCGAATGAGGCACAATAAGAAATGCAAAGGCCAGGATCCAAACAAACACTTTTTAGGCTGCAAAGACGCATAACAGCAACGCAAAGCCATAACAAGAGGCTGAGGCCACAAAGGGAACGCCCTGCCCATCTGTGCTTTGCTAGTCATATCAGTATAGCAAACAAAGGTGAGTCCAGATAAGAATGAATACGATGTCCAGTTCACCCTTGCCAATTTAGATGATACTATTTACTCTCAGTAGAGCAAGAGAACTTGTGATTTTTATAATGCAACAGCATAAAAAGTTGGGTGAGAGGACACTCTTGAAAACATTTTAGCGAGCGAAAAAACGAAAAGCAAGAAGACAAACGGGTGCGATTTCAAGTTATTACAGGTGTGATTTTTAGGTTAGTTTTGTAAAAGAATAGACTTTGTTCAATCAAACGTTAGTACATCAAGGAAGCTTCTCAATCATTTGCTGCTCTTTGAATGCCTCTCAGATGACTGACATGCAAGAGTTATGGGATATGATGTTTAAACAAAAAAATCAAAGAGCTTACTGAAACCTACATTCTCAGTATCAAAAACGCTAGACTTAGAAAGAGAAACAAAACCACGGATGAGCTTGAGGAAAAGAAGGCAAATATATTTGAAATATAGAAAGACTAACTGCCCTCGTCGCTCTTAACGCTTGAATTATGTGACTCGAGAGTTGATGCTCAATATAAAGAAGGCTAGACGGCACTACCCTGAAAAACTCTGGAACGAAATAAAAACTAATTCATAGGCGTTCTGGCAATACAAGATAGGCTATGGAACAGACCCCTCGGGTATCAACAGACCCCTCGAGTTATTACCTTAAAATTACGAGCAAGCGCGCCCAGCTTCCCCCCCCCCCCCCCTTCCACTGCTCCGTGACAACCCAATACAATCCTGCTTTGCACTGCAGCCTGATTGCTACAAGCATGCTCCATGCCATTTGTTGCTTTGTGTTTGCGGTGTGAGGTAAGCTATGCATATGCAGTCCTACACAATGATGCCAAAAAAAAAATCGAGGTTATTCAATGGCACTGAGAAAACACAAAGAACGTGCATTAGAAGTCTTGACATTTCAAGGTCGACTAGAAGCAGATACGGGAATGGGAGAAGAGTTTCAGTAATTTGCTGCAGCTAAACTACAAGAAGGCAAAACTTTGATGAAAGCTCAGTAACGGCGCCCCAACACGTGGAAGATGCGCTCTTTGAGTATTTCGAGCCCGAAAGAAGTGCAGGATGTGCCGTCAGCAACCATGCTGTTTCCGAAGAGGCCATCCAAGTTGCGTACAGCGAGCAGTTGGGAAACTTTGTAGCCTCCCGCCATTACATAAATCGCTGGACACAGCGGTTCGACATTGTGATTCGCCGTGCTACGAACTAGAGCCAGAAAACGCTCGAGGAACTTTCGGAGGCATCAAGCGGAATGCTGCAACGTGTTTTTTGCAACTCCCGTGGAGGAGTGTCTTCATAGTTCTGAAAGTGATTAAAAGCTACAACAAATCTTGGACCTACATAAAGTTCTGTAATAAAATTTCAATCATTTTTTTTGGCAAGAAAATTTTGCCGCCATCTTGAATTTCAGTGCCATTCCAAGAGGTGCCCCCCCTCTCCCTACTTTGCGGGCAATTTTAACTTCGTTGAGGGAAGGGGCTGAATCAAAATTTTACACTAGATGAGACTGACAAAGCTACCTGTTTAAATATTTGGTTAGGCTTCAGCGCGAATTCGACGAAGACAAAAAAGACACACAGAGAAAAAATGAGCGCTGACTCACGACTGAGTTTATTTGCACATCAACCAGCCTTTTTATGCGCCGAAACCTGCGTGTAATAGTCAAAACATGCAAGAGCAAGATAAAAGATGACAAAAACGAAACCCAGGGTCTATAATCTAAAGAAAACAAAATGCAAATGATTGCAGCAAGACGAAATATCAAAGATAATGCACACCTATATCGCACATGATAAACTGATCTTTGAAACCAAGACTGCGCGATGATTTATATTGTAAAAACGGCGCCATCAACATAAAAGCCGGGCTGACGCAGAGCGTGAAATGTTTAACTTATCCTAGCAAGTAAAGTGGGTGTCTAAAAAAACTAAAAATGAAAGTACAAAATTAAAAACAGTAAAAGCACATGAGGATGAAACAATACATAACAACCTAGAGAACAGATAACGGCGTCAGTTTGTAAAAACAAACAACTTTCTCGTGCACCGGCGAACCTACACTATTCATGACCAAAAACTTACATAAGCAATAAAAAGATACGCAGAAAAAAAAACAAGGTGATAGAAAACCACCCGGTTCCGGTGTGTCAAACCATGCTCTGACAAAAACTAACTAATTTGTGTCATTTGGATCAAGAAAAACAAGCGTCAAGTGCAATGAAAAACCATAAACACAAGAAAAATCTTGCGTGAGCGAAATGACACGCAAAAAAAAAGAACATCTAAAAAGTCAACTTCGGTGTCCAGCAGGCATGCTTACACATTGATCACCAGCTTTTTTAATGAAGTACGCTTCAACGAGTTCACGTTCAGTCCTATCTTTGGCTGTTTTTAAAAAGTAAATGCCATTAAAATTTGGTGTGCAGTCACAACGCTTACAGTGCTCGGCTAGGCGGCTACCAGCATTATTGCGTACATTCAAGTGGTTGTTACCTTGTTTCTTTTCTGGGTATCTTTTTATTGCTTATGTATTGTCACGAGGTTGTGATACACGCAGCACTTGAGAGGAAGCACGCAGGAGTCAGGGCGGTGTCAGGCGAACTGTTTATTGGGCGAACTTGTGCCCAGCAAAACAGTTCCAAACACAACTCACAGCAACAGCGGCGTGAACAGTCGTTGGCCGACGGAAAAAAAAAAAAGACCCCCAGTGGCGCACTGCGCCGGCTTTTTTACACACGCGTCGTAACGCGTTCAAAGTGGCATACAAGATAAACGCGGCCTGCGTTGCGCTTAACAGAGAGTGATAGCGTCTTCCTTCGCAAACGAAAACAACCGCACGTGTCAGTTTTTTATACACGCGTCGTAATGCGTTCCAGAGTGGCATACAAGATAAACGCGGCCTGCGTTGCGCTTAACAGAAAGTGATAGCGTCTTCCTTCGTAAACCAAAAGAACCGCACGTGTCACTACCCCCCTCTGAAAAAGCATCGTCCCGATGCTAAAGACAGAACATAAGAGAGAGTACATGCAATAAATTACATTAACAATGCGTCACAGCTAATCAGCGCGCGTAATAAGGTTTAAGTCGCACCACGTGTACGACTTCGGGTCGTGCACGGCGTCGTTGGGATGACGTTAAGCCATCGGGCACGACCTCATAGTCCAGTTCACCACGACGTCGGACTACCTTGTAGGGTCCAAAGTAGCGTCGCAGGAGCTTCTCAGACAATCCCCGTCGTCGTATCGGCGTCCAGACCCAGACAAGGTCACCTGGTTGGTATTCGGTGTGGTGTCGTCGAAGGTTGTAGTGGCGCCTGTCGACCGTCTGTTGGCTCTTGATACGCAGCCGGGCTAGCTGTCGAGCTTCTTCAGCGCGATCCAGGTAGCTGGCGACGTCGAGGTCTTCTTCGTCGGTGCCGACCGGTAGCATGGCGTCAAGCGTCGTTGTTGGGCTCCGTCCGTAGACGAGCTTGTATGGAGCAAACTGCGTCGTTTCCTGCACGGCCGTGTTGTACGCGAAGGTTACATATGGGAGTATGGCGTCCCACGTCTTGTGCTCGACGTCCACGTACATGGCCAGCATGTCGGCGATGGTCTTATTTAGACGCTCGGTGAGGCCATTCGTCTGTGGGTGGTACGCGGTGGTTCGGCGGTGGCTTGTCTGACTGTACCTCAAGATCGCTTGCGTTAGGTCAGCCGTAAAGGCCGTACCTCTGTCGGTGATGAGGACCTCGGGGGCTCCGTGGCGGAGGACGATGTTCTCAATGAAGAACATGGCGACCTCGGCGGCAGTGCCCTTGGGCAAGGCCCTTGTTTCGGCATAGCGGGTGAGGTAGTCAGTCGCTACGACAATCCATTTGTTGCCAGAAGTTGACGTCGGGAACGGCCCCAGTAAGTCCATGCCGATTTGTTGGAATGGCCGTTGAGGTGGTTCGACGGGTTGCAGAAGTCCGGCTGGCCTAGTTGTCGGCGTCTTGCGTCGCTGACAGTCTCTGCATGTTTTTACGTAGTGGGCGACGTCGGCAGTGAGGCGAGGCCAATAGTACTTCTCTTGTATTCGTGACAGTGTGCGGGAAACACCAAGATGTCCGGCTGTCGGGTCGTCGTGTAATGCTTCCAGAACCTCTGGACGTAACGCTGAAGGCACCACGAGGAGGTGGTCGGCGCGGAGCGGCGAGAAGTTCTTCTTCAGGAGGACGTTGTTTCGCAGGAAAAACGAAGCCAGTCCTCGGCGGAATACTTTCGGCACGTCGGCGGTCTTGCCTTGCAGGTAGTCCATGAGGATCTTGAGCTCTGGGTCAGCTCGTTGGCGTTCCGCGAAGTCGTCGGTACTTATGGGTCCCAGGAAAGAGTCGTCGTCCTGGTCATCCTGGGGCGGCGGTTCGACAGGGGCGCGAGACAAGCAGTCGGCGTCGGAGTGCTTTCGTCCGCTCTTGTAGACGACGGTGATGTCAGATTCTTGTAGTCTGAGACTCCATCGTGCGAGGCGCCCTGATGGATCCTTCAAGTTAGCTAGCCAACACAAGGCGTGGTGGTCACTCACGACTTTGAAAGGCCTGCCGTACAGGTAGGGGCGGAACTTTGATGTAGCCCAGATGATGGCAAGGCATTCCTTTTCTGTCGTGGAATAATTGGCTTCT